ATATAATCATTAAGGCTAACTTATGATTATATAATTATAATCAGAGTCATGTAATCATTAAGGCTAATTTATGCTGAAGTTGAAGCTCCATTACTTTGGTCATGTGATGGGAAGGCCTGACTCATTTGAAAAGACCCTGATGCTGGGAAATATTAAAGACAGAAGGAGAAGGGGACAATGAAGGATGAGATGGTTAGAGGCATCGCTGACTCAATGGACATGAGTTTGAGAAAGCTCTGGGAGTTGGTGATGGACAGGGAAATGGCATGCTGCAGTCCATGGGCTCGAAAAGTGTAGGACATGACTGAGTGACTGAACTGAACTGAAGACTAACTTATTCTGGAGTTTCATGACCAGCAAAGAAACCTGATTACATTTCTCTCCCCATGTAATTCTCTTACTCCCTTACTTTTCTTGCCTGACTATAGCTGTTTTTGTAATGCCTTCTTTCTCCCGCTCATTCTCTCTGCTTACCCCCACCAGTAGATACTGTAGTAGAATGGCCCTAATTACATTTAGAGCACTTGGTTAATACTCAGTTACAAAATGGACTTTTGGTACAAATTCAAAGTTGAATTGTTTTCCCAGATCTGTCTTCTTTATGATAACTTGGTACCTTGCCTCATTTGTCTTTGCCAAATAATGTTTCTCCTTTGTGTAATCTAAGAATACTCAATTATGTGATTGATCTAACAAAGTATTACAACTTTTATGGTTTTGTGGGTTTTCTCCCTTAAAATCAAGAAATTTTAGAACTTTTACTGGATGGAATTTTAGAGGAGCAAAGGAATAGTTTGTAGAAGTTATCCTTAGATAAAAGTGTGTCTTCAAACATTGGATTTTGCTAGGACAGACCTGAAATGGAAAGATTGGTGACTAATGAACACATTACTCCCCCATCATTAAAAATTCTATATAGCATTACATAAATTAATTTTGAGTGGGAATCTGCCACAAATATTTTAACACTTGTTAAACAGTTAATTTTAGGCAGTTAATTCTGTGAATTTAGCGTTAATGTGTGTGTATGTTAGTTGCTCAGTCATGTCTGACTCTTTGCAACCCCATAGGCTGTAGTCCACCAGACCCCTCTACCATGGCATTTCCCAAACAAGAATACTGGAGTGGGTTGCCATTTTTTTCTCCATGGGATCTTCCCCACCCAGGGATTGAACCTGGGTCTCCTGCATTGTAGACAGATTCTTTACCGACTGAGCCACCAGGGAATGATCTGACATTAATGAAAAATTTCTGTTTTGAGGAGTTTGAGTTTGAGGTACCTAACATATCTTTGACTGTGCCCAGTAGGAAGTTGGGTAAATGACTATGAAGATGAAGAAAAGTTAAGATGATGTCATTAGTATTTAATAAAAATTGGTAATATCATGATCACTGTTGACATAGGTTCAGAGTAGAGATGGAGCAGATGATCCCGGATGAGTTCTGTGGCTTCTAGCAAGTAGAGCTGGGGTGAATGAGAGACAGTCAGAGGAGGAGAGTTCAGTGATGGTTGCATCATATGATAAGACACTGTTTTCATAGAACTTGTACATGCTCAAAATACATTGCTTTGTGGACTAGGATTTTTTCTTTTTTGGGGAGGGATGTAATTGACATTTAACATTGAATTAGTTTTAAGTATACTATATGATGATCTGATATATGTATATATTGCAAAATGAATACCACAGTAAATTTAGCTAACATCCATCACCACAAACACATAGATTTCTGTTTTTTCCTTGTGATAACAACATTTAAGATGTATTTTCTTAGCAACTTTCAAATATGCAGGACAATGTTTTTAACTACCATCCCCATGCTATATATTACATTCCATAACTTATTTATCTTGTAACTGGACTTTTTTTTTTTTTTTACCTTTTGACTGTCTTTACCCCTTCACCCATTTTGGCTGTCCTCTCAACCCCTGCTTCTGGCAATCCCAGTCTGTTTTTATCTACAAGTTCAGTTTTTTTTTTTTTTAATATTCCACCTACTAGTGAGATCATACAGTGTTTGAGATCATACAGTGTTTGTTCTTCTCTGTCTGACTTATTTCACTTAGCATAATACCTTCGGGGTCTCTTGTTGCTGTTGACAGAACTTATATTTTTAATGGTTGAGTAATACTCCATTGTACATATATAGCACATTTGCTTTATCCATTCATTCATTGATGGACACTTAGGTTGTTTCTATGTCTTGGCTGTTGTAAATAATGTTGCAGTAAATAGTGATTATGGGTGTGTAGGTATCTTTTCTAGATAGAGATTTCATTTTCTTTGGACAGATGTCCGGAAGTGGAATTACTGAATCATATGGTAGTTCTATTTTTAATTTTTTGAGAGGCCTCTGCACTGTTTTCTGTAGTGGCCGCACCACTTTGCATTCCCATCAAAAGTGCAGAAGTGTTCCTTGTTCTTCACTTTCTCACAAACACTTTCTATTTCTTGTCTTGTTGATAATAGTCATTCTTACAGTTGTGAAGTGGTATCTCATTGTGATTTTGATTTGTATTTCCCTGAGGATAAGTGATATTGAACACCATCTCATACACCTGTTGATCATCTCTATATCTTCCCTGGAAAAATGTCTGTTCAGATCTTCTGTCCATTTTTAAAAGATTGTTGTTTTTTTCTCTTAAGTTATGTGAGTTCTTTATATATTTTTTATATTAAAAGTATACATGACCAGATACATGACTTGCGAATATTATCTCACATTTTTAGTGGTTTGCCTTATTTTGTTTGATGGTTTCCTTTGCTGTGCAGAAGCTTTTAAATTTGAAGTAGTCCCACTTGTTTATTTTTGCTTTTGTTACCTTTCATAGGTTGTTTTTTAAGCTAAATATTTGGCGTATCCTTTGTATATTTTAATGGTTGAGTAATACTCCATTGTACATATATAGCACATTTGCTTTATCCATTCATTCATTGATGGACACTTAGGTTGTTTCTATGTCTTGGCTGTTGTAAATAATGTTGCAGTAAATAGTGATTATGGGTGTGTAAGTATCTTTTCTAGATAGAGATTTCATTTTCTTTGGACAGATGTCCGGAAGTGGAATTACTGAATCATATGGTAGTTCTATTTTTAATTTTTTGAGAGGCCTCTGCACTGTTTTCTGTAGTGGCCGCACCACTTTACGTTCCCATCAAAAGTGCAGAAGTGTTCCTTGTTCTTCACTTTCTCACGAACACTTTCTATTTCTTGTCTTGTTGATAATAGTCATTCTTACAGTTGTGAAGTGGTATCTCATTGTGATTTTGATTTGTATTTCCCTGAGGATAAGTGATATTGAACACCATCTCATACACCTGTTGATCATCTCTATATCTTCCCTGGAAAAATGTCTGTTCAGATCTTCTGTCCATTTTTAAAAGATTGTTGTTTTTTTCCTCTTAAGTTATGTGAGTTCTTTATATATTTTTTATATTAAAAGTATACATGACCAGATACATGACTTGTGAATGTTATCTCACATTTTTAGTGGTTTGCCTTATTTTGTTTGATGGTTTCCTTTGCTGTGCAGAAGCTTTTAAATTTGAAGTAGTCCCACTTGTTTATTTTTGCTTTTGTTACCTTTCATAGATTGTTTTTTAAGCTAAATATTTGGCGTATCCTTTGTATGGTTCCAGGCACCTTTCTGAATGTCTTTGAGGAAGACAGTTTTATATAGTGACAGAATGTGTGCACTCATTCTGTGCGATCTCTGTAAGAGAAAACACGAGCAGTGAAGCATTCCAGTCGGGAAGTGGTGCCAGCTCTTCTCCCTTTCCCACTGCCTCTTCGGAACTTAAATTTAGTTAATTTAACTAAATTCTTATTTGGGTTGAAAGAGTTTGCCAGAAATTTCTTATTAACAGTGATGCCCTTTGGCCTTCCTCCCTCAGTTTTGTCTTTATATTAAAGCCATTTTACTTTTAAAAAGTTATCATTGACATGAAAATTTTAGGATTCATGAGGAGTCTTATTAGATGTTTATTATCACTGATGTCATTGAGAGCACAAGATAGCAGATGAAAGCCCACTTTATACATTCTGCAAAGAGATCAAGATATTAAACAGGGACTGGCATAGACATACCACAGTTTCCCTTATTATCTGAAAGTATTTGTTCCTGTGAAACCTTTTGTAAGCTGAAATAGCATAAAGCAAATAAGCAATATTACCTTAGGAAACATCTTGGTAGCAGATGTACAAAATAAATGGAGACAAAGTGCAGATGGTCACTGAAACAGTTTAAAGCCGTGACAGCTTGATGCTCTGAGTAGTTCCTGGGGAAAAAGCTTGGTGATCCCACTCTCACTGTTTGTAACTGCCTCTGTAGATGGCTCCCTGCAAAAGCAAACGCTGAACCTGTTTTCACTTTTCACCTTTTTTTTTGTAAATGTGAAAATCCTCTTTGCATTTTTGTTGTTGTTGCTAATGAGAATAGGTACGAATTTAGTTCTTTTGTAAAAGCAAAGTGGCATTAAGTGAACATTTGAAAAGTGGGGTATACCTATAGCTAAATTATATTTTTCCTTTGAGCCATGCAGAATCCTGTCAACTCCAAGTGTTTTGACATGCCTGTTTTTTGTTTTCCCCAGAATCTAAACTATAAAATGAAGAAAGACATTTATTAGATGTCTGCTATATTCCATATACAGTGCTGAGTACTTTATATTGTGGTCTCATTTTGACTTAATACCAGTTTTGGGAGGAAAATATTTTCAACCCATTTTATAGAGGTCAAGAAATTGAAGCTCTGGTTACTGGTATTTAGCGAGAAACAAGAGGAAAAGTTGTATACAGAATTGGATTCCATAGTCATTTTTTTTTAAGCTTACAGGAGCCGTAAACATGTTTAAAGGCGATAGAAAAAAGTCATGTGTTTGAAACCTAATACTCTGTTTTTAGTTGTCCATTTAAAGATGCTTTTCATTTTTAAATGATCTGTTCCTGTGCGGTATTGATGATGATCTTAATTTTTTCCCCCTCTCTTTTGGTTTCAGAGGAAGAACTTGTCTCTTTTTCTCAGCATTAGTTTGTTAACTTTCTGGGGAACCTCCCTTTTGGGTGCCCGTTTATACTGGATGGGAAACAAACCACCAAGCTTTTCCAACTCTGACAACCCAGCTGCTGATTCGGACAGCCTCCTGGCTCGCACGCTCACCTTCTTCTACTTGCCAACCAAGAACCTTTGGCTGTTGCTATGCCCAGATACCCTCAGTTTTGATTGGTCAATGGATGCCGTGCCTCTGCTCAAAACAATTTCTGATTGGAGAAACTTGCACACTGTGGCCTTCTATACTGGACTCCTCCTCCTCGCCTACTATGGTTTGAAGAGCCCAAGCCTAGGAAGAGAATGCAACGGGAAGTCTGTAACAAATGGCAAGCAGAATGCAAATGGACATAGCTGCCATTCAGAGGTGGAGTATGGGAACTCAGAGATTAAATCCAGCTTTGCATCCAAAGTAGAAAATGGCATTAGAAACAATGCATCGCAGAGAACACAGCTTCCTTCTACGGAGAACATAGTTGTTCTGTCTTTATCTTTGTTAATAATACCCTTTGTTCCTGCCACGAACCTGTTTTTCTATGTCGGCTTTGTAATTGCAGAGCGAGTATTGTATATTCCTAGTATGGGCTTTTGCCTCCTCATTACAGTGGGTGCCAGAGCCCTTTATGTCAAAGTCCAAAAGAGGTTTCTCAAGAGCTTGATTTTTTATGCTACAGCTGCATTAATTGTTTTCTATGGACTCAAGACGGCAATCAGGAACGGAGACTGGCAGAATGAGGAAATGCTGTATAGGTCAGGGATAAAAGTAAACCCAGCTAAAGGTAATATTTTATTTTATGCTTTTACCTGGATGGTTTACTCTGCCTTTTTATATCTTTCCTTCTTGCTTTTTAACAGTGTTAAGAAAGAAGAGGTTCTTGTAATGCTTTAACATTTTCTTTTTTTTTTTTTTTTTTGAGATGAGCAATGTGACCATTTTAGAGACTTCCATTGTTCCATATTTGGAATAGGAACGTGTTTTCCTAAGTTCCTGACTATACTTGTCCAGAGGAGTTAGAGCTCCTATTGTGTAAAAATATTGACTGTTGTCAGAATTTAGAAAAATGCTTGATTTCCACATTTTAAAATAGTGATATGAACGTCATCTTTCTTCATCATGTTATAAAAGTCAAGTTATCTTACTTGAATACCGTTTAGCTCTTCTGTTTTCCAAGCATCACCTGAGGAAATACCACAAGGCTTACACTGACATTTTTAAAAGATTTGGAGATGAGGCTACCTCTGAATCCTGGCATCGTGTCTGTAGGTGTCAGTGTGTGCGTGTGTAAGCATTGAGTCATCCTGAGCTTTGCAGAAGCTAAATTATCTGGATGTTGCCAAGCAGTTTGCACATTCTCATTTGGAAGTAAGTCCTTAAGTCACTTAAGGAAATACACTTTTTACTGTTCACTGAGAAGATTGAGCATATTTTTCATGATTGCTTTTGACTTAGAAAATTATTTTAGCAAATCTCAAAATCTATTGCTAGAGTAGAAAGTAGCCTTTAAAGTATAAATGAATAGTCAAAAGCTGTTAATTCAGTGATTTCTCTGGTTTAGGCAAGGAAATGATGACAGAAGCTAGAGAGCAGTTGAATGAAAATAAGTGTACATTTTAAGTACAAAAATATATCATAGTAAATAGTGCCAAAGTCTTGTTCTTCATAAACTATTTTTTTTTGTGTGATTTATCCTTTAAATTATAGCAGCTTCCATAGCGTTTGAACTGGGCTTTTTCTACTTTTTCCAACACATTTCTGTACCAGTATTCAAATACTGAATGTGTGAGACTGTTCCTAATGAATGGAATGGCCTGCTGATACGTATCAGGATATTTATCCAAATATCTAGATGCCCCACAAACAACTGTGGCATTCCTATCTGATTACCAATTTAGAGTTCTTGAACAACTACTCATTTCTTTAAGACAAGGGACTGATTGTTGGTACTTAAAATGATTAATAGATTGCAGAGACTTTAATGGGAGCAGAAACATTAAAATTGAGCTGATACATAGCATAGAATTCTTCAGTTCTCATGGAAAAATCTTTACCTGTGGCTTTTTACATAGTGAGCACTGCACAATTTATTGACTGTCTGCACCTGAATCTTGCTATAAAAATTGTTGAATGAGTTCTTATAGAATGCTTTTTGGCTAGTTTTTCTTCACTGGTACATGAGAATATATAAAACATGGCTAGGTTGCCAGTTTATTCTCCTGTTGTTTAAAAGAGATACATGGTAAGGAATTAAAAGAAAACCCCAGCATATTTCATCACAGGGTTGTTTTAAGGATTTATTAAATGTATCGGTTAAGTTTCAGGTTAAGCTACTGTAACAAAGAGGCAGGATAACAGTGGCTAAAAGAAGATAGAATCGTTATTGTTTCGTAACAGTCTAAGCCTGTGTAGTACAGAGCTGATAAGATGGCGCCGTGGGTCTTCTGGATCCGTGCTCCTTTGCTTTTGTTCCCTTGCCATCTCAGTAGGGTCACCCTGTCCCAGTGGCCCAAGATGGCTCAGTGTCACTTCAGCACTTCAGCTAACAGGAAGAGGGAGAGAAGGGGCAAATGGTGGGTGTTCCCATTCTCTGAAGAGCATATCACACAAATTGCCATCCCATGCTCCCTCCCAGACTCTGGGCCACACCTCACTGCGAGGAAGGCTGGGAGATATTATCTCCATTCTGGGACTCCAAGCACCCTGCCACACTATATTGCTCTTGAAGAAGGGTAGGGCCAATCCTGAGATGCTGCTATAAGTAGCAGTCTCTGTCCCCGGGTAGGTGAAAAAATTCCCGAATATTTTTCAGCATTAGCTACTATACTGTTGACAGTTATGATTTCGACTTTGTTGAAATTTCTTTTTTTTTGAAATTAATTTGGTGACATGGTTAAAATGATTGGTCATTTCTTCATCTGTTCACTCAGTAAAACAGTTATTAAGCATGTCTGATATATTTTTGTGTCTCTTACTACTTAAGAAGTGTGATAGTATTTAGGTACTTCAAATATTATTAGTTAAATGGCTATAAATCCTCTGAGACATCAAAAACTGAGTTCCTGAACAACCCCCTTCCCAACCTGTACTCCAGCCAAGTGCTTTCCCATCTCAGTTGATAGTAACTCCGTTTTCTCAAAAGCTTTGCCCAGCATCAGGAGTTATCTATATTTCCTCCTTTTATTTTCTACCCTACATCCATTTCATCAGCAAATCCCCTCTGTTCTGTCTTCAAAAATATATCCAGAACTTGACCATGTATTACCATCTCCACTGCTACCATCATGGCCCAAGTCACCACCATCTTTTGTCAGATTATTATTAGAAGTCTGTAGCGGAATCTCCCTGCTTCCATTTTCTTGCCTTTTAGCGTGCTTTTGTGAGAGTCAGACGTGATGTTACCAGGTATTAATAATAGGGGTTTAGGTAAAAAAGGCTTAGTGTGAGTTTTAATGTTAATCTGATGCTGAGTTGTGTTTGAGTTTAATGTTTGCTGTAGATGGAGGCCTTGTATTTCCCTGATTTCCTTTTCTCTTCTAAGGTCTTTGGGCTTTAGCTAAAACTTGGAGTCTGTATTTTGCATCTCTTTCTCCTGTAAATGAACCATTTTTATACTGGAGCCCTGCAGGTGTGTTGGTTAAATGTCCGAGAAGGGCTGTGTCCTCTTTTTTGGTGATGAAATCCTAGTGTCTCTAGGTTGTCACCTGTATGAGAGTTTCTTCACTTTCCTTCTGTCTCCTTGTCGGGACAGGAAAGCCAGAGGAGATGAGAGGGAGGGGAGTGCCTGCCCCCCATAGCCCTGGGAAGCAGCTGTGGTAAAGCTGCTTCCCTGGAGGGGAGACCTTTGTTTTGAAGGAGGATCATTTCATAAAAGTTCTTTTTCTCGTCCTCCGCAGAGCCAGGAAGGCCTGTTTCTTGGCTTTTCTGTGCAAGAACCTGGGAGTCCCTGGGCCCTGGAACTAAAACCCACAAAAGAGTAGATGTTAGATATCTCTAAGACTAGGCAGAAGTGTCTTACTTCTGAAGTAAGTTTCTTACTCTCGCTTAAGCTCCACCACATTCAGCCTTCAGCAGCTCTGCTCAGAATTGCCAGTTACTTATTCCTCTCAGACTCTCCTCCAGGTAATCTCATCTCTTTGCAATTGGATTTCCCTTGAGTTTGCCGTTTGTTTAGCACATTCTTGTAAGAATGAGAGTGAGGAGTTCCAAGCCTTTTACACATCTGAGCTGAACCCCAGCTTCCTTCTTCCGCCCTTAGCATCTACCTTTCATCAGAGCCCTGATGACTCTTTTGAGACATAAGCTGGACTGTGGTGGTCACTGCTCCCAGGGCTCCCCTGACACCCATTTCTCTCAAACGCAGCGCACAGAGCAGAGACGGGACACCGCAGTCTCCCAGCCTTGCCTTCGCTGGCTTCACTCCAGCCCTGCTGGCCCACATGTTGTGCCGTCTCTACGCCAGGGAAACCCTGGCCTCAGAGCGTTGGCACTTGTTGCTGCTTTCTCTTGGAATGCGTTTCCTGGGATAGTCTCACCTCCGTCTCGTCTCTTTCAGCTCCTTTAGGTCTCCGGTGCAACGTTGCATTATCAGTAAGGTGCTTAATGTCAGATCGCCTGCTCTTTGTAAAATTGCAGCCACCCTCCTGCTTCTGCTTTGTCTAGCATCCCCTGTCCTCTGTCCATACTTTGTTTTCCCCATGACATTTAGGACCATTTGACAGCCTATATTTTCCTTATTTCTGTGTTTATTGTTTGAATGTGTTGTCACTGTACAGTATAATGCATGACCCAAGAAGACAAGAAGTTTTGTGTTTTTTTTTAATGCTATGTATGTAGCTGCTGGGGCAGTGCCTGGAAGAGAGAAGGCCTTTTTGAGTGAATACACTGATGAATAAATGTTAGTCATAATCCTCCTCCTTAAAAAACTTACAGAACTTATTTAGAGATAAGATGTACATTAATTAAAGGAAATGAAAGTGTAAAATATGTTGTTGATGTACCACATACTTGCTACCAAGTCCAAGCTCGCTCTGCTCACCACACGACAGGCCAGTAAATCCGAGAGAGGAGGTGTTGAGGCAAGGAAGAGACTTTAATCGGGAAGCCAGCTGACCTAGAAGATGGCAGGCTCGCACCTCACAATAATCATCTTGTCAGGGCCTGGTTGCCAGGTTCTCTCATAGATCAGAGATGGAGGGGAGGTGAGGAAACAAAAAGACTGTCAGTCCTTGAGAATGTGCTTCACAGGTGGTTGGCTCAGGTTATCTCCCTGAGGCAGGCCATTATGTATGTTTATAATAACAAAAAAAGGGTTGAAGTCATAGAAGCAGATCTAATGTAAATTTAAATTAACCCTTCGTTCTTCCATACTAAATCATGTTTCATAATAGTTCAGTTCAGTTCATTCGCTCAGTCGTGTCCAACTCTTTGTGACCCCATGAATCGCAGCACGCCAGGCCTCCCTGTCCATCACCGACTCCCGGAGTTTACTCAAACTCATGCCCATCGAGTCGGTGATGCCATCCAGCCATCTCGTCCTCTGTCGAACCCTTCTCCTCCTGCCCCCAAATCTCCCAGCATCAGGGTCTCTTCCAATGAGTCAACTCTTATAAGAGGGATAGAATTGGCAGTGGAGTTAGTTTTGGACTCCTTGAGTCCCTTCTGTGACATATGCTTCCATTTTGATACAAGGCAAAACTTTTAAAATCCAGGTTCCTGATTTTTTTCTATTTATAACATGCTGATAAATATTCTGGCTACAGTGACTTCCTTAGCAATTATGAG